CAAACAGAATAAGCAATAAAGAGAGGGGAGCGCAAAAGAGTGGATGAGTTACACTTAGGGAGTAAGAGTGAGTTTCTAGTTCTTAGAGAAGAGAACCAATTAAAACACATGAGATGAGGTGGGCACAACTCAAGCTTAATAGAATGGACAAGAGAAGCCAGGTGTGCACTGCGTCCATGTGATAACGGGGTTGTGTGAGCGATTTTATAAAGGGCGGATGATGAGAGCATGCGGGGTTGACGGAGGAGAATTTTAAGGATTTTCTTGTGATGTATTTCAAGCTTTGCAGCAGCGGAAGAGGATAACCCAACCCAAGACGTATCTGCATAATGAAATATTGGGCGAAGGTAGGCGAAATAAAAACCTCTTTCCAGTATCGTCATCGACATTTTTTTAAAATATTTTTTTAATAACAACAACAAAAATAACTCCAAAGCACGAAAAAAGCCAAAAACTAAACCAAGAACATGTGCAATAACGTGTTATTTACTTCGAAGTAGAAAGACAGGACAAGTGAATAATTAGTCAGTCCATTGTTCATGATGATCTCCGACGGTTACGTCGGCAAGCGAGCCTCCGCCACTGCCAAAGCAGCGTGGGCTCCGCAGGAGGGTGCAAATTTCAAACTAAAATTTAAACGCCTACAACCGCGAATGCACATGATACAGGATTTCTGAAGGCTGAAGGAAATCCTGCATCTAACAAATGCCATAACATGAGAATAGTGCTCACCCCTCTTCTCAGCCAACAGATGAGCAATTCGTTTATACAGTGCATGCATGCACATCCGCCAAATTTCTCCACAGCTGAGACTTTCAGCTTATCTTGGCTGCGCTCACCTTCCCCTCCTATAACTCGCCGAGTCTTGAGATGTTGTAATAAATAATAATAATAATAAGGCCACACTGAAGAAGGTCTGTGGTTCGACTCACCCGACCGACCGTACATTTTTCAGCCCGACCGTAACTTTTTTTCGGCGGGCTGTCGTGTGACTGACGTACGTGGACTGAACACGTCCACGTCTACGTGCTGTGCAGCGTGAGTCTGCGGACGCAGGCGGCTCCTTTTGGACTTGACTTGTTGTTGTACTGCAGTGCAGTGCAGTGAGTGGTACGACTGCTGCCTTGTAGAGTCTACTCGATACCACCGGTAGACTGGCGAGACTTATTTTGAAGTGACCGTCCGGTTGAGAGTGATTGCCTCGTTCCAGATTAAGGACGGCCTTCTGTTTTGGGATGAAGGACAGACGAGATTGCACTTTCCTCGTGTATTGGGAACGATATTTCACCTGTACCGGTAAGTTGCTGTGCAAGCACAGGAAGCGTCGATGGAAAAAGCCCATGTATTCGTGCACGCCGACACCAAACTAGCAATACATGTACATGTACCGGTACATTGTACAATTTGTACTTCGATTGAGTTCGAAGTAGTTCCCGAACTTACTTTCAACTCGCATCGTTCTTCATTTGCTTGATGATTTGGACAGTCAGAGTCACCGCTTGAAGTTATTCTCTTCTCGTTCCAGAGCTACACAATGTTTCAAAGTATAGGGCTTGAAAGTGCTACGTCACTCCATAGCAATGGCATAGCAACAATTTGAAAAATTCGAAAACTGGATCCACCTGCATCCAGTTTTTGTATGGATCCAAGCACATTTCAAGCGGTCTCACTCACAGCAAGGTGATGTTGCCAGTGAAACCGACTGATTTGGCTAGTGGGGGCGGGGTGACAACTGGTGGCGAAGTAAAAGTTGCACCTGCATACGACATGAGTGGGTTGCTATGCACCCACATACTGAGGCAATAGCAAAGTCACACCTTAGTGGATCCAAAATAGAAATCTGATGTCAATTTACTACTCCCAGGCCGTTTTTGACGTCATCACTTTCAAGCCCTATTAGCCAGTGATCCCTTTATACAACATGTATGGCATAACACTGCGTAATAATGCCGATGTACTGGGTGTCTAAAGGCAGTACATGTATACAGTGTATTTACATGTACTAAAAAATATATTTTAAAAAAAAAATCCGCCCGCCCGCCCGTAAAAAAAATGTCCATGTTAGTCGAACCACACACCTTCTTTAGTTTGGCCTAATAATAATAATAATAATAATAACTAAGTTACTTAGAAGCTTCCAAGTAAGTTGAAAGGCGGTTGCAGTGTGCCTCCAAGACATGCTAAAGCTGATGATTGGCAGTAATTTGTTGTAGTTGTAGAACGTCAGTACCGTTGGTCAGTGTCGTGATTGTTATCGCATGAGCTCATTGTCCAGTAACAGGTCGTGTTATAGTGGACCGTGGTCACGTGGTGGACAGTATACTGTACATGTATAGCGTGACGTGTACTACTTGTAGTTCTTTCGTCCTTTTTCGCTGGTGCTTTATTATACCGAATTGCGCTGTTGTTACAGTGCGGCCACTAGCCGTTAAAGGGGAAGTTAAGGCAAAAATTAAAATTTCACCAGTTGTAGTCTTCGGGGTGCTGAGTCGAATGGTCTTGGTCCGAGAAAGCTGAGACGCTCCCTTCCTACTTGAATCCCAATCGAACTCGCGCACTTCCACCGAAACTGGGTGACTGCGCCCTACTAGATGGGGATTTGTATGCAAAATGTCACTAAAAGCGCCGTTTCGTTCTTATAAAAGCACGGATGACCGCGATTGGCCCATATGTTGTAGTCTTTTGGACGCTGCGTCCACTGGTTTTGGTCCGAAAAGGCTGCGATGCAGCGTTCCTCCTTTATTCCCAATCGAACATGGTTGAACAAGCGGTCACGTGCTCCTGCGTACACCAGTCACCTGGTCACCGTGCCTGCAGGGTACAACTTACTAGCCTGTTTGACCTTTTTTGGGTGCAGTCCTGTCACTCGAGTTGAACTCGAGTTGAACCTTGGTGTGAAAGTTGTCGCCTGCTGGCGTGGTGACCAGGTGATTTGGGCACCCAGGAGCACGTGACCGCTTCTTCAACCATGTTCGATTGGGAATAAAGGAGGAACGCTGCATCGCAGCCTTTTCGGACCAAAACCTGTCGACGCAGCGTCCAAAAGACTACAACATATGGGCCAATCGCGGTCATCCGTGCTTTTATAAAAACGAAACGGCGCTTTTAGTGACATTTTGCATACAAATCCCCATCTAGTAGGGCGCAGTCACCCAGTTCCGGTGGAAGTGCGCGAGTTCGATTGGGATTCAAGTAGGAAGGGAGCGTCTCAGCTTTCTCGGACCAAGACCATTCGACTCAGCACCCCGAAGACTACAACTGGTGAAATTTTAATTTTTGCCTCAACTTCCCCTTTAAGGGGGCACATCACCCAAAAATTTCATATGGCATTCAATTGACCGTAACTTTGGTGTTTCTCAGTGGATTTGAGTGAAATTTTGACCACACACTCCTGCCACTATGCTGGCCCTCAGGACATGATTTACAAGTTCTTGCGCCTCACTGACAGGCTTTCCAGGCCGGAAAAACTCAAATTTCCGGCATAGTGCTACGGTGTGCGAGCCACCCAGGAGCCAAACAAATGCATTTACATTTTTTTCACATTTTCGTGCCCATTCTGTCCGTGCGCGGGACCCAAACCTAAAACAAGTCCAGAAGCAGCCATGGGTGGTGGGGTAGGGCCCCTCAACGTGGCCCTGGAATCTGTCACAACGGAACGAGTGGGCGTTCTTTCACGGACTCCCACAGACCCAAGTCAATTTTTGAATTTTTTTAGGTTTGGCACGTGCTACGAGGTCGTACCTTTGATACAACACCCAGTGCTGGGACCTCCACAGCAAGCCATTTCCACAGCGCTGCACACCAAATCCAGGATGCCCTCAGAAACCGGCAAAGACTGCCACTCACGTTTCACTACTGCCTAGTACTGAATCCTACCTGACTTCTTGACACGACTCAAACTTGCCAAAGTCACTAAATCAACGTCAACTACAATAATCAAGCCACATATCTGCAACGTCACGAGGGTGCTGGCAAAAGTCTTGCTGCACGGCGGCGGGCTTCGCCCGCCGCCGTGCAGCCCAAAACGTGGTTTTTTAACGTGATTTTTTGGACTTTTTTGGACTTGGGGCAAAATTCTGCACACTTTCGCGTGTTTCCATAATACGACAAGTTGCGCACGGTCTGCTCACATTCAAATACAGTGCTGCCAACAAATGACAGCATGCAACAAAAAAATCTTTCCTTGCAAGGGCACATTTTCGGCCATAACTCTTGAACGGCTGGTCAGATAGGGACACAGTTTTCAGAGAATTTGCAGCTATTCATGCTCTTTCAACTGACGTAGCACTCAGTATGAATTTACAAATTCGATTTTTCAGCGAATTTTTGGGTGATGTGCCCCCTAAGTACAATCATAATAAGTGGCGGAGCATCGCGGGCCGATATGGAAGCTCGCTGCAGCGAGTCTGGTGGTGACCTTGGTGACAGCCTAGCCTAGCCGTTTAATCTTCTCACTCGCGATCTCCTTTGTAGTCTAGAACGTAACTCGTTGCGGGAACAAACATTTGTAGACGTGCGAACAGACAGCCGTCAGACTCAGTGGAAATCAGCACGGCTTGTGTTCCTACAGACCGGAAGCGACAGGCGCAAGCAAAGCCAGCCGGCCCTAATCATACTACATCGTAGTAACGACTATGTTTTGTGCAGTGCCCCAGTCACAGTGGCATTGGTAGTTGATGAATTATGTGCACTGAAGCCAAACGCACTTTTGAACTCCTCCACGATCATGATCGTTTCCACAGGATTCCACTGCAGTTCTCTGGGCTAGAAACGCTATGCGTCTGGGCGCTCTCATGATTGTGCCGTACAGTCATGTACTTTCGATACAAGGATTTTGAAATTCACAATGAATGTCATGAATAGTGGCAGTGCCTCTCCTACACTGGCTACAGCTACGGCCCGGGTGACACATCCTCTGGACTTCCGAAACAAGATCATGTTCTGTGGCACAGTATACATGGTATAAGTTTCTATTGTCTCGAAAGTACGCAAAGTAGAAGAAGATAGCGGTGCTACTGGTAGATGACTATTTACTAGCTAAAGACAAAACCTCCTTGCTCACGCCGAGTTTGTCCCATTATGCTGTTGTGTGGGAATGCTTGGCTCTCCAGATTATTCAGAAAAGCTAAACAACCTTTCGCCTCTAGGTGCTTCTCACACTCACAGGGCAGAGCTGCAGCAACATAAGCAGCAGCAGCAGCAGCAGCAGCAGCAACAACAACAACAATGGCGATGGTCTTAGCTAGGCGAGAAGTAGGAATCAAGGTGATAGGCAGGAAAGTCGAGGTGCCTGACTCGCCGAAAGCCCGACTAATGTACTATCTTCATTGCATCTTTGATTTGCTGCGGGAGGATGACTTCGACGAGGATGTACGCCGCCTGGCTCGCTATGAAAACTGGCATGGTCTGAGCCTGCGTGAAACGCAGGCCTTGCTGAAGATCTGCACAGAGATCACCCCAGGTATGTTGAAGGATAAGCTGTTCCATCAGCACGACAGCATGTGTGGCGAACACCTCAACCAATTCCACAGCTTCGAGGAGGCCAGTAGTTACGTGGTCATTGCTAACTCGGTGTTTATCGCGGGAAAGCAGCTTCGAATTAGCAAAATCATGACGTACAAGGATGCCTGGATGCAAAAAAACTATTGGAAGGCCCTGCGGGAGCTTCGTGAGCAGCTTGCACCGGCCGCACTGGCCGCACCGGCCACAGCTAGCAGCAGCGACGCGTGGTGCAGCATTCTCTAGACATCAAACGATAAGACCTCCTCTCCCATTCACACCCACCCTCTTCACTCCGTAAGACGAATGGATTCCAGTATAGGAGGGAAAGTGTGGTTCACATTTTTCTGTGTGTAGTGATCCGTGAAAAGTGACACTGGTGCATTCAATATTCTTTCCTTCCAATGAGCCTTACGTTTAAAATTCAGTCTTGCATGTTTCAGGTGAGGTATGCTAAAACGGCTCCGCACGCCTGTACAATGCAATGCACACAGTTATTTCCTCACTGCCTGTTTTCAGCGCTATGCACATTATCAAACCCAACACTTTAAAGTTAAAGAATAGCATTACACCCAATACTACTAGCACTTCGGTTCATTCCTTTCATTTCCCTTGTATGATACTGTTTCACTGGCATAACCAACAACACCCATATACATTTACATGAACGTGTTATGCTTCCAAGTACAATGATAATGCTTGCACTGAGCACTATAATCATCCAAATTTGCAGCAACAAATCATGTATCTTTGTTCCACTGTTTTATCGTGTGTTAAGATTTTCTTTATCCGCATCCGATTTATCTCAACGCACTGCGCGTCTCATTCTGTGAAGCACAGCCAAACCTCTAGAGGACAAAACACTAAGAGACCTATGGCATTTGTTCGTGATAACAAAAATTCTTCTCATCCATGTTCTATACCCGGTAAATGCACTGTGATAGAGTTGTGAATACTGGTGTTAATTCTAAAGCTAGAGGTAGTCGTATCATCTGTCAGTGCTCATTCATGTATGTCTGTGTGTGTGGGGGGGGGGGGGGGGGTGATATTAGAGTAATGTTCCTGGTTTTCAGTGATAAAGTTGAACTACTCGTAGCAGTCGTCTGAAGAGCCATCATGAACCAGGCGACGAAACGATGGTCGTGTGATACTATTTTTTTCCCGTCCGTAAAGGCCTCTTTTACGGGCAAACAGAATACAATTGACAGTGGCATGGCGAATGATTAGAATACAACACCAAAAAATGAAAACAATTATATGTGTGAAAAAAACGCAAAAACACGAGACAAAAAAACAAAAAACACAAAAAAAACAGGAAAGTACAAGGGCACTGTCCTGCCCACCATCGTCTCCAAAACCTCACAGCCGGCCCTCCGAGACTGCCAACTCTCGCAATGCATTCACAGGACGGTGGTATGACGATCGGGCACCGCGGATGCACGTGATACTATACGTATAGATTATAGACCAGTTAGGAGGTCTATACAGGATATATAGAGCGAGTAAAGACCGAGGTATGTACAGTGTATTTGACTAAGCAGTTAAATACGCGATATATTTGACCACTTACATGTAGGTACCAGGGAAATTAGTGGGGTTAAATACTAAGAAGGCGATAATTATAGGTTATTATTATTATTATTATTATTAAATTTTGAATAGGGCAGTCCCACAGGCCTAGGGCCTTTTTACAGGGTACCCTATGAATTGTTGAATAGATGAACGGAAGTTTCTGAGCAAGGAGATTGTGCGAATATCCGTCATCCGTCTCGTCGTCATCTGTATCCTCGTCATCCGCCGCATCATCACCCAACTCATATTCACCACCAGTCGATTGTTTGAGTGTTTATGATGATTCCCACTTCTCTGTACTGTGTCGTGCCCGTTATGCATTGTTTCGGAAATAATTTCTACGAGGTTGGGTTGTGATGTCGATAGGGAGTGAGTTGTAGAGGGCACTGTTGATGGGTGAATCTCGGTGCCTGTTTGTGTGTGCGTGTCCGATGGAGTAGGTACTTGTCTGTCGAAGGGTGTATGGTTGGTGTTGACGTTGTGGTGCAAGATGTGGTTGTTGCAGGTGTGGTGGGGAGGTTTGGTGGTGGATGTCCCATGCTAGTAGGACTTGTTTAACAAGGAGTCGTGAGCTAAGGGTGGGGAGCTCTCCACGCTCCGTCAGTTCCGCGCCAGCATGATCCCGCACACCCTTAGTACCTAGAGTACCAAACGTCCTGTTTCATGATCAGCTGGCTTAGTTGTTCTCCACCTCTATCCTTATTACATCCCTCCCTAATTTCATTTATTACTGCTTTCTATCTGCATTCGCCACCTTTTCATTGGGCAGATCTGCCCGTTTGGTTTGCGAATTAAAATAAACACAACAACAACAACAGCTTTGCATGATGGAGGAGGGAACTGTGGTGAACTGGTGCAAAGAGGGGAATCCGAAGGCAGATGCGTATAGCACGGCGTTGAATTCTCTCCAGTGTGTCCCGCTGTTGCTGTGTGGTGTTGGAGAGGGCAAGGCTGCCATATTAGAGAACGGGTCGGATGTAGGTCGTGTATATTAACAATAGGCTGGAAGCGTTCATTGTGCCACGTGTCTTGTGGATTTGGTGTAGTAGTGTTTTGACTTTGTTGGTGGTTTCTATGATGTGTTGGGTCCATCGCATATCGTCTTGGAGTGTCACACCAAGGTGCCTATGTTGGTGGACCTGCTGCAGCCAAGTCGAGTGGAGCGTGATGTGGATGGTGTGTTGGGGTTGGAAGGAAAGGACGACGGTTTTCATGGTGTTGACGAGGAGATGCCAATCCTTCAACCATCGTCCTGCTGCGTCTACGGCACGTTGGAGGAATGCAGCTGACGAATCCCTCGGGTAATGCGTCGCGATGAGTGCCGTGTCATCGGCGAACTGGCTGCATTTGGTGTGGGAGTTTGTACATGCTGGGGGGAGGTCGATCGTCTACACCAGGAAAAGAAGAGGCTCCATGACAGAGCCCTGGGGTACTCCAGCTGGAATGGATTCCATGATGACAAAGCGGAGCCAACCTTGACGCGTTGTCGGCGGCGAGTCAGGTAGCTTGTGAGCCAGGTAAGGGCAATAACCACGGACACCAAGGTGCTCGAGTTTGGCCAGAAGGCCAGCATGCCAGACTCGGTCAAATGCCTTTGATAAGTCAAAGAAGCATGCTGACACTGCCTGACCGGCATCTCGGCCGGCGGAAATCTCATGCACTAGGTTGGAGAGCTGTAATTCAGTACTATCCTTCATCATGCAATGCAATACGGAGGGTTTGTGTTCCAACGCTAGTCAAACTGACTGACGAAATTTGGACCGGGATGAGGATACTTATAAGGCCACACTGAAGAAGGTCTGTGGTTCGACTCACCCGACCGACCGTAACTTTTTTTCGGCGGGCTGTCGTGTGACTGACGTACGTGGACTGAACACGTCCACGTCTACGTGCTGTGCAGCGTGAGTCTGCGGACGCAGACGGCTCCTTTTGGACTTGACTTGTAGTTGTACTGCAGTGCAGTGCATTGAGTGGTACGACTGCTGCCTTGTGCTGGTAGTAGAGTCTACTCGATACGACCACCGGCAGACTGGCGAGACTTATTAATTTTTGAAGTGACCGTCCGGTTGAGAGTGATTGCCTCGTTCCAGATTAAGGACGGCCTTCTGTTTTGGGATGAAGGACAGACGAGATTGCACTTTCCTCGTGTATTGGGAACGATATTTCACCTGTACCGGTAAGTTGCTGCTCCATGTGTGCAAGCACAGGAAGCGTCGATGGAAAAAGCCCATGTATTCGTGCACGCCGACACCAAACTAGCAATACATGTACCGGTACATTGTACAATTTGTACTTCGAAGTAGTTCCCGAACTTACTTTCAACTCGCATCGTTCTTCATTTGCTTGATGATTTGGACAGTCAGAGTCACCGCTTGAAGTTATTCTCTTCTCGTTCCAGAGCTACACAATGTTTCAAAGTACATATATATACATGTATTAGCCAGTGATCCCTTTATACAACATGTATGGCATAACACTGCGTAATAATGCCGATGTACTGGGTGTCTAAAGGCAGTACAGTGTATTTACATGTACTAAAAAATATATTAAAAAAAAAATCCGCCCGCCCGCCCGTAAAAAAAATGTCCATGTAAGTCGAACCACACACCTTCTTCAGTGTGGCCTAAAGCAAAGAATTCCCGCTTGCAGCCCCTTTCGTCACTTCGCCTTCTTCACACATTAGATGCGGGGGGGGGGGGGGATCATGCCTGATTACGAAGCCGACACAAAGATCTCAGGGTGGTTGAGTTGTTCCTAGTACTTCGACACGTTCCTGCAATCGCCTTGTCTTGTTTTATTTTGATCTCCACATATTTTTCAGGTGGGCTGTGTTCACAATTGTAACCGTTGAAATTGAGTAAGGACAAACTAGAAATTCTTCGAACAAGTTTTCGCACAATGCTCCCCAGGACGTTACGTTGTAACTTATCGTATCGAGCGTTCTTCATCTTTCTGTTCTTTATTGTATCAAAGCATTCGTGATATGTCTATCCAGTTGTTCCTGCTGATTTAATTGTTTTCATGTAATCTTGGCCACACACGAAATGCTGATTACGTAAACCCGTATCTAGTATTATTGAACTCCACGCGATCAATTCTTTTACACATTACAGGGGCATAGCCAGGATAATGATGAAGGGGGTGCCACGACTTTCCCACACAAAAGTAAATGCACTTATGACAAACAGTAGTTATGTTGGTCCTTTCATGCATATGAATGCGTTGCCCAGCGAGGTACGGGCCATACCGCACCCGGCCCAATTTCGCACTGCTGCTGTTCCACACAGCATGAACCCTTGAGGTCAGACGGATCACTATCGCCATATTTTCATTATATGCCTGCCTGTTGGCCTGCCTGCCCGTCTCTCTCCCTGCTCTCTGACAACTTGCTTGTTAATTCGTGCGGTTGTTTTCAGACGTAAAGCCCTGCTGTAGAGGTCTCAGCCCTCATTTGTTAGTCTCTCCCTCTGTCTCTCTCTCGCTCTCGGATCTCTCTCTCTCTCTCTCTCTCTCTCTCTCTCTCTCTCTCTCTCTCTCTCTCTCTCTCTCTCTCTCTCTCTCTCTCTCTCTCTCTCTCTCTGTTTTTGGTGGACAAAAATATCTCTGGCGTTGATTGCTTTCTTGCTTCGACTTCTGCCGCGCCTTTGTTCTCGTACTCCCCTTTATGTACAAGTGTTGTGCGGACCCTCCCTTAATATAGTCTGTCTCATTTTGTCCTGAGATGTTTTGATGCATAGTGATTATGACGCTCATCATTCGCTCCCTTGTCACTGGACAGTTCTGTCCGTTTGGTTTTAGCGAATTCAAATAAAGAAAACAACAAAACAACAACATATCATTTGATCCGCAATATGGCGGGGGGGGGGGGGGGGGGAGGAGAGGAGCAAAATTAGCCCCACAGTTGACGCTGAAGATCAAACAGCGAATGATGAGCCTCCAACCAGGGAGTAGCAATGTGGTATTTTCCTGTTCCCTGCTTCCAACTAATGATGAGCTATGTCCTGGATGCTGCATTCTCCAGAATTATCACACTCTCCATCGACCAGCTTTCTCAACCCGTTTTTCCCTTCGTGGTGTTTGATAGTGCAGTAAGGCATCCTTGATCATACGTACACTATTACGAAGTATTATTTCCCCCAAAAACGGCAAGCTGCACTGCAACGTTACTTTCACTCTTCTGCTGCTGTACCCACACTTGCAACACAAGAAAGAAAGAAACTTCTTTGCCTTTCCACACAGCGTGATCTCCAAGGCGACCACTCAACAGCCAGAAGTACATTATACAAAACATAAAATAGCGCAAACGCACTGCTACATGTATGTCTGACGTGTGTTTTTCATTGACCTTGTCGCTACTTTTACCCATGGCGTGTTTGTACAATTCTTTGCTTCTAAAAAGTATTCGGAGTGCGATACAAA